TCCATTACTACAGCTTCTCACTGCAGAAATCTGAAGCGCTTTAAACTGGGGCTTTTCATTATCTGGCAACCTCCGCCCGCGAGATGGCCACTAATTAGTTTCCCTGTTGTTTGTTAGGAGTGGTCTTAACATCCGTACCCTGGGGTGTTCTGCAGTTTCGTCGTGTGTGTCCTTCAGCACCGCAGTTCCAGCACTTTACGGTCGGTTTCTTGTCACCAACATTCCGTCTCAAGGCATTCATTGTCTAGTTAAATCGCTTAGACGAGCAGTAACTTGATCGCCTGGCTCCTGGACTTGAGCGCTCTGAGGAGTGGCGGTCTCTACGAGTGGCTTGCTGGGCTCCTCGAATTTCATGGCGTACATTAAAGCGTTTTTCAAATTATTACCATCCGCCATTCGCAGTGCTTTCTGTGTTTCAGGGTCCCGGATGCCATCGATGAAATATTGCAGCGACAGGATTTCTCTTGTTTCTGTCGGGCACTCCGAAAAGGCTAGATGGGAGAGCCTTTCAACATCCGTGGCGAGCTCCTGAAGTGTTCCGGTGGGATTCTGTTGTCGGGATTTTAATTGAAGCCTGCTGTAGTCTTTTAAAACACTTCTCTCCAAAGCGCAGCTCCAACACGCCGGACAGAGCTTCGAAATCTAGCCTTTTGTTTTCGGGAAGAGTCTGAAGGATACCCGCCGCGTCTGCTCTCAAAGAAGCGGCAAGATGACAGGCCTTAGCTTGGGGATCCCATCCATTCGCTTCTGCCACTATAGAAAACTGTGTCTTATATACTTGCCAGGAGGTCTTCCCATCATTTTTGGACCGTTTCAGTGAGGGATGAGCAGGCATGGGTAAAAATTTAAAGCCCTCAGAATTGCTTCCTTCTGTCGCTATGCACTCCTTTAAAGAGTCAACTTCTTTGGCAACAGCAGCGAAAACCCTTACCAAGTTCAGTGTTCCGCCTTACTTGCTTGGGGAACATTCCAGAACCTGACTCGGAACAGGGAGCTTACTAAAGCTATGTTCAATAAATGTAGGAAGTAGACAAGATACACAGGAAGGGTATACGAAACCCTTTATTTTTCACTCTTTACAATAATTTCCGTACTTCGGAATACAGAGACCAACTACTTGTGGTCTGAACGTAAGAATATAAAAATATTAACTAAACTCTAACTTAACTTTGGAATAATAAACAAGGGCCTACGTGGAAGATTGGCCGTATATTAACAGGAAGCCGTATGTAGTACAGAGAACTGTTAACACTACAATACGTTTAAAAAATTATCAAGAGGATTAAACCTCTGGCCTGGAAGGCAACCAGCAACCGAGTAAAAACTGCTAAGGCAAGCGGCCTGCTTCGACTAACTCCTTCCTCTCCTCTCGCTTGGCAAAAAGCCACAACTTAAGTACTTGGCGTTCGCCAGACACATTTGCATAAATAAGTTAAAGCTTTTAATTCTGGCCGGAAGTATAAAATAAGAAGTGATAGTAAAGATTTAAAATAAAATAAACGTTAGTAAACTTAAGATCCTTACACCCTTTCATCAATTTTTATTGGACGGCAGAAACTCTTTCTTTCTTTCTTCAATTTGTCGCTTTACCGCAGAACTCTCCCTTATATTTGTTCTTTGACAGAAAATTTTCTTCAATTTTCTGCAACCTTACTTTCGACCGATTCTATTCTACCTCTACAGCAGGATGTCAACTCATAGGTACACTTGGGCCAACAACAAGGTTTAATTTAGCGGGCCAAAAAAAAAAAAAAAAAAAAATATTCACTTTTTTTTTATATATACAAATATATATATATATATTATTTTCGTGCATAGAACTCTTGATGTATAATACAATGCATATGATGAATGTTTTGAACCGTGAATTTCACTAAGTTTTTTTCTTAGTAATGCTACGAAGCCCTTGTTTTTCCCGGTCATTGATGGAGCGCCATCTGTAGCTACAGAATTTAATTTTGCCAAAGGTAGATTGTATTTCTGCAGAAGTCCAAAAACACAAGTAAATATATCTTCTCCTGTGGTAGTACCAGGCATCGGTATTAGTTCCAGTAATTCCTCAAAAATGTTAAAATTCTTGTCACAAGAACGAAGAAACACTGCTAATTGAGCTTTGCCACTAATGTCCGTGCTCTCGTCACAGGCAATAGGAAACTTTCGAAACTAGATGATTTTGCTTTGATCTGATCACTTAAATTCGCGGCTAAATCAGTAACTCTTTCCGCAACTGTATTTCGAGACAATGAAATTGATTGAAAAGCCTTCACATTTCCAGGACAAACAATTTCTCCAGCTTTCATTAGGCATTCCTTGATGAAATCACCGTCAGTAAAAGGCTTCGAATGTTTAGCTATCAACTCGGACAAGACGTAGCTTGCATGTACCGCCGCTTCACTTTCTTGCAATACTTTACTAAACATGGACTGTTGCTTTTTCACTCCTAACTTGAGCTCTTTCAACTTTTCTTCTCTCATTAATCCTTCGTAATTGTTATATTTCGATTTGTGTTGTTCGTAATGACGTTTAATATTATATAACTTTGGTACATTAATAGTATTATTACATATCAAGCAGATTATTTTATCTTTTATTTCACAGCAAAAATATTCTAATTCCCATTTTACTTGGAATATTCTATGTTCGTCAGCGATTTTTCGTTTAATTTTACTACCACTTGGTTTTGATATAGACATACTGAATACAAAGGGCTGGAATAAACACGGTTAACGTTAAAAAGTTAACAAAAATTTATTCTTTCCACAAGAGATAAATCAAAATGCTGAAATATTTCTTCAAAAATATTCTAACAATATCACAAAATGTCAAACGTTTAGCAAAAATCAATTCAAAACAGAGAAACTAATTCTATCTCACAGCGAAATCGCTACAAATCAATCACAGCATTAAGTAAACAAACAGTTCGCTAGAACTACAGCTACTGCTGAGATGAGTTGGATTTTTGTGGATGGCAACAGCAATTACGAGATATTTATTTATTAGGTATTAAATGCACGCGCTGTTCTATTTTTAACCTTCCAACGCAGCTGTCTTTTCAAAAATCGTCTGCGTTGCTAAGGAACATGAAGTCTAATTACAATTCTAAATAAAAAAATAATAAATAAAAACCTACTATGTAAAAATACAAAAGAAAATGATCACCTTCGACGACGGCCGTCCTTTTGAACGGGTGGCCCAGACCGACGAGAATTGAAAAAGAAAGTTTGTTTTTTTGAGAACTGGCAACGATAAGTGTATGCTTTTAGAACAGTGACGCAGTAGACTAATGACGCTGTTAGATATGTAGAACAATGATGCTAAGTAGTTAGAAGTGTTTTTTGATAGTGTAATGATTTAGATATTGTTTCCTCTTTTGTGTCAAATGTCAAATAAAGTGATTCATACAAAATAGTGCCAATTTTAGATGAGTTTGAAACCAAATCGGAGTCTACAAAAGCGGCGGACCAGAATCGAAGAACGCGGATCATAAAGGTAAGCAACCTTTCTTCATTTGCTTATCTAGAATTTTGAATGATCTGTTTTTTACTGAATTGAAACGATATAAATTTTTTTGGCGCCCGAACAGGGACCGCCGATGTAGACTATCTTGAAGTGAAAGATTTAGGAATGTTTAAAAAATATCTCCTTTTGATTTGAGAAGTTTATTTATGATTTGAGAGTACTGATTTTTAATTTGAAATATTTTCTATCTGAAATATTTAAACATGTCTACTAAAATAGAAGAATTAAAGAAAAGACGAACTGTAGTTAGGAGTATGACAACAAAGTTGATAAATAATTGTAAAGAATACCTCCAAGAAACAGAACACGATTTGTGTATTCTTAATGAAAATATTGATTTATTAGATTCAAAATATAACAGCCTAAAAGAATTAGATAAACAAATACAAGAATTAATTGAGGCTACTGAATATGAATCGGAATTTGAAACTTGTGAAGTTTATTCCGAGAAAATAATTTCCATGAAATCAAAACTAACATTTATGTTAAAAGAGAATAGGAAACCTGAAATTCCTGTTTCGAATACAATTGGTAATATTGTGAATAATGATATTTCAAATATTTCTGTATCTCATTCAAAAATTAAATTGCCTAAATTATCGATCAATAAATTTAATGGCGATCCTGTTAATTGGTTATCATTTTGGAACCAGTTTGACAATGCGATACATCAGAATAGTGATTTAACAGATACAGACAAATTTAATTATTTGATATCATTTTTATCAGGTGCTGCTTGTAATGCTGTTAGTGGTTTTGCATTATCAAGTGAAAATTATTTTGCCGCAATCGAGTTACTTAAAACACGCTTTGGTCGAACAGATTTAATTATAAATGCACATATGGGAAAACTGTTAAATTTAGAACCTGTTAGGAATGCTAACAACATATTTGCATTACGTAAGTTGTATGATGATATCGAAATACAGATAAGAAGTTTAAAATCACTTAATGTAACTTCTGGCACATATGGCACGTTATTGACACCAGTTTTATTAAAATTAATTCCGAATGAACTGAATCTTGATTTCCAAAGAAAAAGGAAATCGAAAGATAATTTCGATGTAAACGAATTATTAGAGTTCTTGAAAACGGAAATTGAGTGCCGCGAATCCATGCTACAAATTCAAGATAAAATAAACAACCATAATTCGAGCCACTTTCCTAAAGAAAAAAGAATAAATAAAATTTCTATTCCAACGGCTGCTGTGTTAAAGGTTTCAATTAACAGCTGCATATTTTGCGAGGATTCAGAAAAAGAAAAACATACTTCCGAAGCTTGCCCGAAGTCTGTAACAGACAGAAAGGCGTCACTTCGGAAACTCGGAATGTGTTATTTATGCCTTAAAAGGGGTAACCATTTGGCAAAAAATTGCTTTTCGAAGATAAAGTGTGATTCATGTGGGTGGAAACACAACAGTTTAATCTGTGACAGAAATAGTTTAGATGAAAAAAAAATCAAATAAGAAGGATCTCAATTTGACGAACAAATCATGTTTAGAGAAAGTTTTATTACAAACTTTAGTTGTAAGAGTGCGTGGGAATGGTCCAGAAAAATACTGCCGCTGTTTAATTAATTGATTCTGGGAGTCAACGAAGCTATGTATCTAAATTCTTAGCTAATGCTATGCAGTACGAATGTATTAACGAAAGCAGTGTGATTCATAGTCTGTTCGGAGGAACTGAAGTGGTTGAAACTCATAAACAGTTCGTTGTACGTTTAAGTAGTATCAAAAACGATTATCAGTGTAACTTCAAAGCTTTTGATCAAGCGAATATTTGTTCTGATATTCCACAATTGAACATCAAGCCTTATTTAAATGAGTTAAAAACCCATAACATATTTTTGAATGATGTTGAAGGTAGGCATAAAAAATTGTTGTTCGAGCATTCTCCTTCTGAAATTCATATCCTCATAGGCGCAGACATAGCGGGAAAATTGCTTACAGGGAAAATAAAGAAGTTAGAATGTGGATTAGTTTGCATTGAAACTTATTTAGGCTGGAGTATCATGGGGAAAAATTCCCGTAGAAATGGAAAATAAATATGATTGTTCTTATGCATTTTCTATGTTAGTATCAGATAGTAAAATTTCTGATTTATGGAAACTTGATACTCTTGGGATATTAGACCCTTCAGAAAGTCAAACTAAAAGGGAATTAGAAAAACAAACAATGACACATTTTCTTTCCAATGTGAAAAGAGATGAAGAAGGAAGGTTTCAAGTTTGTTTACCTTGGATTGAAAATCGTTCCCTACTTCCAAACTATCGAGAAATAGCAGAAAAGAGATTAAAGAGCACAGTGAAGAATTTAAGGGATGGGGGATTTTTAGAAGATTATAACGCAATTTTTAAATCTTGGGAAGATGATAAAATAATAGAGATTGTTCCTGAGGAAGAAGTTAATAACCCCTCTCATTATTTACCCCATCGTGCTGTTATTCGAATGAATTCCACCACGACAAAAATATAGACCGGTTTTCGATGGATCCGTAAGAACTAAAGGATCACCCTCCGTAAATGACTGTTTGGAAAAGGGTCCAAATTTGATTGATACTGTTCCAGCTATAATAAATAGATTTCGACTGGGAAAAATTGGCGTGAGCGCTGATATTAAGAAGGCTTTTCTGCAGATAGCACTTAATCCTAAAGACAGAGATTATTTAAGATTTTTATGGTGGGAACAGGGAAATTCTGAGCGTTTGAAAATATACAGGCATAGAAGAGTGGTCTTTGGAATAACCAGCAGTCCATTTCTCTTAAATGCAACACTAACGAAATTAATGAATGAAGTACCAGAAAATTATCGTGCGAGTGCTAATAAATTAGTAGAATCCTGGTACGTTGATAATTTAGTTACAAGTGTGAATGATGAATCAGAATTAAAAGAAGTTAAAAAAATGATGCCACTGAAATTTTGGCAAGTGCTAAATTTGAATTACAAGAGTGGGCATATAACTATCCTCGAAATAAAAGGGATGCATTTGTTGTTGAACCCATTTTAGAACAGTCGAAGCTTGATAAATTAAATGAGAATGAGTTTTTCGATGATCCTTGTGAAGCTAAAACGGTCAACATTTTGGGACTTCTTTGGAATTTGCATGATGACACATTAAGTTGTGATATTAAGGGATTAAATGAATCAAAAAAACAAACCTGTTACTAAAAGAACAATTTTGTCTGAAATTCATAAAATTTATGACCCTATTGGATTCACCTGCCCTATAATTTTAATTCCTAAAATTCTGTTACAAAACTGCTGGGAATTAAAAGTAACTTGGGATGAAGCTCTTCCTGAAGAAATTCAAAGGAAATACATGAAATGGAAAAATGATGCAAATCGTTTAACAGAAATAAAAATTCCTCGACAGATGATGCTTAATATTGATTCTGAATTGAAATTATCCTTTCATATATTTTGTGATGCATCCCGAATGGCATATGCAACCTGCGTTTATTTAAGAAATGAAAATGAAAATAAAGTTTCGTGTTCATTTAGTTCAAGATCTAGAGTTGCTCCTCTAAAACCCACATCAATTTGTAGACTAGAATTATTAGCTTGTGTTGTTGGTGCAAGATTAATGAAATCTATAAAACAAGATTTGAAGGAAGAAAATATACCTACGTTTTATTGGACAGATTCAAGGAACACATTGTACTGGATTAAGAATGAAGAAAATTGGGGTGTGTGTATTTGTTATGAATAGAGTGAAAGAAATACGAGCTCTTACTAATCCTGATGCATGGAATTATGTTCCTGGCAACTTGAATCCTGCGGATATTCCGTCAAGAGGATGTTCTGTTGAAACTATTAAAGCCAAAAGATGGCATGAAGGTCCAGCATGGTTGAAGTTGAATCCAGACTGTTGGCCTACTTGTGATATTTCTCCTGACAAAGATATGATTGATCGAGAAAGAAGAAAAACAGTTGTATCCTCGTTAACAAATGTAGATGAAGAATTTTCGCATTTCTCACGAATTTCTTCTTTTGAGAAAATAATTAGAGTTACAGCCTGGATAAAAAGGTATATTGATAACTGCAGAGATAAAAACAGAACAACGTCAAAGAACTTAGAAATCGAAGAATTGAATGCAGCAGCTGAAGTTCCTTGTTTGGAAAATTGTGCAAAGGGTCTCCTTTAAAACAGAAAAGGATAAACGCTTACGAAATTTAAAACCATTTGTTGATTCATCTGGTCTTTTAAGAGTAAAGTCAAGAATATTAATGAGACAAGACTTCGAAAATTTTAGAACACCTGTAATCCTACCTCCTGAACATCCAGTTGTCTCTAAACTGATTATGGAAAAACATGAACAACAAATGCATTGCGGAACTCAGACTTTAATGGCAATGCTACGAGAAAATTTCTGGATTTTGAAAAGTCGTAAAACTATTCGTAAAGTGTTGAAAAACTGCACTAAATGTAGAAGATTTGATTCGAGGCCCTCCACGGTACAATCCGCACCTTTGCCAAAGGACCGTGTTTTAAAGATTCTTCTATTTTTGAAGTGACAGGTATCGACTTAGCTGGCCCTTTGTTTTTAAAAAATGGGATCGAAAACGTGGATCGTTTTATTTACATGTGCTGTATACAGGGCAATTCATCTTGAACTTTTAACGTCTTTGTCAACAGATAACTTTTTATTGGCTTTCCGACGTTTTATAGCACGCAGAGGAAGACCTGAAATTGTCTACACTGATAACGGTAGTAATTTTATTGGTACAAATTCGCTCTTAAAAATGATTGACTGGGATAAACTTATTAAAAATCATGTTGTCAACCGCATTAAGTGGAAATTTATCCCACCAGCTTCTCCCTGGTGGGGTGGATTTTGGGAAAGAATGATTGGCCTGATGAAAAACATTCTCAGAAAAGTTTTAGGTAATGCCTCACTGAAATATGAAGAACTCTATACGATCCTCTGTGATTGCGAAAATATCTTAAATTGCAGACCATTAACTTATATTTCCGAGGACTTGGAACTGGAACCCTTGACACCTGCAATGTTTTTTCGTGATCTAAAAGAAAGTGGCGTTCCAGATCTAGATATTATTGATGCCAAATACTTACAAAAAAGGTATGCTTACCAGATGAAAGGTTAGAGAAGATCTAAGAAAACGGTTCAGAACTGAATACTTAGGACAACTGAAAAACCATATTTTAAAAACAGAGAAATATGTTAAACTATCGGTTGGAGACATTGTGTTAATAGAAACACCTGAGAAAAGAATTAAGTGGCCTCTAGGAAAAATTATAACACTCATCCCAGGAAATGATGGTGTAGTTCGTTTAGTAAAATTACGCACCAAAAGTGGCGAAATCCTTCGACCCATACAACGAATTTATCCGTTGGAAGTCCATTTACAAACGGATAATATAGGAGACTGTTTGAGAAAGAAGCATTCTGATCAAAAAATGTGTGATAAGCCTACAACTTCTATTGGATCTACAGAGTTTCGTGCCACTGACAAAGATCAGTCAGATGAACTCAATCAGAATCCCCTCAAAACAACTAGATGTGGACGAGTGATTCGAACTCCTGAACGATTAAACCTCATGAACTTTCAACCAGACTGTGGCTGAGTTTCAACTTGGTGAAACTCATCGGGGGGAGTGTGTCGCGAACGACGCACGCTCCGCTCTTGGGGAACGGATTGAGCCTCCAGACCGACGAGAATTGAAAAAGAAAGTTTGTTTTTTGAGAACTGGCAACGATAAGTGTATGCTTTTAGAACAGTGACGCAGTAGACTAATGACGCTGTTAGATATGTAGAACAATGATGCTAAGTAGTTAGAAGTGTTTTTTGATAGTGTAATGATTTAGATATTGTTTCCTCTTTTGTGTCAAATGTCAAATAAAGTGATTCATACAAAATAGTGCCAATTTTAGATGAGTTTGAAACCAAATCGGAGTCTACAAAAGCGGCGGACCAGAATCGAAGAACGCGGATCATAAAGGTAAGCAACCTTTCTTCATTTGCTTATCTAGAATTTTGAATGATCTGTTTTTTACTGAATTGAAACGATACTAGTTACAGCATTACTATATAAACAGATGGATGTTTCAAATCCTGCTGCGTTGAGATTCGGTTGAACAATTCCTTATACTTGCGCGATTCCTTTTGCTCGATCTGAGACCATGTACGACATGCAGCTTGTATTTTGCTTTTATTGCACTCTTTTATTCTCAATCTAAACAATTTCAGTTTATTTCATTCCTCTTCCTCGTGCGACTAATGTTATATCATTAATATTTACGTTTATTGCCAGTAGATGGCAGCACGAGTAGAAAGTCACGAGTGCTCTGTTTTGTTCTATAAGTTAGTTCTCGTCAGGACTTCCCTGGTATGTCATGGGTTAGCAAATCTAACATAGTTTTATAAAATATAATATTACAGAATGAATTACAGAATTGAGACATTCTGATAATTTTTCCGAATGGAGAAGTTCGATTTAAAAAATAGTATACAGCAAGCTTCTTAAATTCATGACCCTAAATATCGAGTTTTTTTCACCACCCCACATATTAAACCCTAGACAGTTCAAAGTCTAAAAACAAAAAATCTCTCATAAATAGTTTATTTCTTTGTTAAGCATTATACACATGAAAAGAAGAAGCTTTAGGTTTTATTTCAAGTATAAATGAATTAATGAAAAAAAATATCGTTTTGATGAGACGGATAGGGTCGTTTGTTTGCCGTATAACAAGAAAATTTTGGTACAATATTTCACATGTATAGCATCTTCAGTGCCTTTCAACATTGAATTCCACATGGATTTAATAAGCGTTAAGCTTCTAGCTTCTATGCAGAATTCAGTTAAAGCATTTTTGTGGAAACTCAAGTTTTAATTTTGAGTTACTCGGTAACTTATTAAATTCCTCTTGCGCCCTTTATGGTAGCGATTAATCTAATGATGTCAACAGAAAATAGTTTTTGAGTCCTTGGTAACTTTTGAAATCAAAATTCGGTATAAAGTATTTGCAAAACTGTGTTTTTAGTTTTTTTAAAGCCATGTAATTTTTGCCAATTAAAGTTTTATAATAATTTCTCTCTATTATAAAATTGATGATAACCAAAAACATTTAGAATGAATTATTTTCCCCCTATCCCATCCTATTTAACGCGGATCTTTTTATGAAAACCTTCAATTTTATCATTCGAATCAAATATATTGCTGTTTTTTCCTTGAACAGATATGCTGAGATCATTTGATTTCTCCTGAATGTCCGACAAATAGCAGAGTTTTGATAGACGTAAATCATTTCGAAAAAGATAAGCAACATCAGATTTTCCTTGAGTTACAAAAATAGTAGTTTCATCTTTTAATAAAAATAATCTCAAACTTCGCCTACTTAACATTCAATCTTACTTCTGCATGCAATAACACGTTTTTGTATTCAGAGTCCAGTTCTTACAGAAATTCGAAAATAAAAGATTGTTAAAAGCGTGGCTTTCAGAGAAGTTGAATAAATTTCCAAAGAACAATGTTCAACTCCGTTGCATTTATATATATATATAAGGGCCTTTCGATAGATCAAGCAGTTTATAAAAATAACATGACCAATGCCAGCAGCTTTAACAAACCGTTTTAAAGCAATATTTCTCCCCATTGTCATTTTTGCGTCCTCTGTGCACACTTTTCCAGTACAGTTTCCCATACTAAACCTTCAGGTTTAAAAAAATTCGCAAACTTTACAACGCATGTCTTCCTTCTTCGATGTTCTTTCAAAGGACAACAAAATAATATTTCTTCATTGATATTTTTTTTACAAATGTATGACATTATACTAACAATTGCGTTATTTTTTAAATGTTTCACCCAACTACATTGTAAAATAAGAAGTTGCTCGAATTAGTCTTAGCTAATTTCATGAGTTCTGTTGAAAAGTGATGTTTGACAATAGAATTTTCAGAATTTCATTGCCATAGTTACTTCCGTAAAATATTTCTACCCATTTTAACAGCAGGAGATAATACAATATCGTCTCCAATGGTGCGCGGCTTTTTGCCTTCTCGTACGAAGTAAATGAAGTATTGTAATCGCGAACAATTTCGGGTATCACATTTCAACAAAAATATCCATTTTGACCGCTTTCGAATGAATTTGAATGATGTTTTTGAGTGATATCTGTACGTTTCAACAGAATAAAGAACTCTTTTTTTCCAAAACGGATTGTAAAGTCGATTTAAAATGTATTCAGAAAAGATTTCTTAGGGACGTCTGTTCGTACTTTCGTACGTATGTATGAATCTCGCATAACTCAAAAACGAGTAGTCTCAGAAAGTTGAAATTTTGTATACGGGATCGCTATAATATATAGTTGCGTACCTTCCTTTTTGGTTGCGATCGGCCACACCAAACATACTTGTATATACCCACCCAGTTATTTGACTCTAGGAGTTCCTTTTTTTTATTCTAATATGGGGATAAATTGTGTATTTTTTGCTTTAAAAGTGATTGAATTATGTTGTTTTTATTTCCGTATAAGGTTTTACTCCTTTAGTTAATCTGCATGGAACTGTTGTAGAATAATCAACAATTTAAAAGTCGTTCAAGTGCTACTAAGCCTAACGAAGCCGAAATTTGTTTACATTTGAAACTGTTAGTAGAATAGTGAATTAACAAAATTTGTTCATCAACTTCAGTGTCTTTTTGTCGAGTGGGACCAAAGGTAAACTTTAATTTTGTGTACCCAAAAATCTGACCTTTTGCCCGCTGGCCGAATTGCTTGTTTTGGAGTAGAAATTCTAATTTTAGTTGTAAATTTGTTTTTTAAACTGTTTTTAGCTGTATTTGATGTTTTAAGTTTTTTTTTTTATTATTTTTTATTTTTTTTTAATTTTACAAATTTTAATGAAGATGTTTTGGGTTCTTATGTACTTTTGCCTTGCCGTGAAGTGAGAACTGAATCAATTGAATTAGAAATATTTCTCTAATGAAATTCGAGGAAATAAGTTTAAATTAAAGTCAGCAAAAAATTTAGTATAATTTAATAGGCCGTACAAGGAAGTGATGTGGACTGTGGTGTCCACATCAGATTTATATTTTGAGCAGTTAGCAGTGAAATTTCGTAAGACGTGAATAAATATTCTTTGCTAACAGTTATAAATTTCTATATATATTTTTTATCTTCATTTGAAGATTTTAACTGTCGTTTGAAATATTCTTTTGATTTATTGACCTATGATGGATACATGGATTAAAGATGCCTTTTTAATTTCGATGATTTCATAATCTTCATAGCCAAAACGTTATTGCAAATTAAACAAAGAAGTTCATAATTACCGTCATAGTTATTGAAAATAAAGCAAAAAAACTGAAGAAATGTCTTCGTCGCATCTTAGGTACCTCTTTTTGATTATGATTAACGGATTCTGCTTGAAGAGACTTTGACGCACTACCATCTGTGCCATTATTGTTGCTCAAATTTAATCATTTAATCATAAATAAAACATATTTTTAAAAAAAAAGTCTAAGTAAAATAACATCTCTCATTATAATTTTTACATATAAAACTCTAAGTTTGGATTGTTAACATTTAAGTACCAAACTTAGAGGAATAAAATAATATAATGCATTATTCTTGTGGGAAAAGGTCATGCAACAGTAACTGTAATTGCATGATTTCACGCGCCATCTACGAGATGTTAACGACGATGCATGCACAAGCGTAATGTGACATTCTTTTTTCTTTTATTTTCATTTTAATTTATGGAAATAAATCGTAGTTTAATAATAATTCGATGGGTTTTAATGATGATTATTAGTAATGTTTATTAATGATGATTTTTCTATATTCTTGAGATACACATACTTTGCTCCACTGAAAGAGAAACAACCGACTAGAAGGAAAAGGTTTCGGTGCCGACTTTATTCTCGGCACGTCTACGTGGAGCAAGACGTTATATACTGTGTGCTTGCGGCATATTTTGATTTTGAAATAACTTACATGTTGAAATTGCATTGTGACTTTGCTATTATGATGCGCTTTTATGATGATTAATGGTATTTTTCAGTATGTAAATCTAATTTACAGCTTAACTTGGCTAGTATTACGATTTTATAATTTCGTTATATATATAGCATATGAATTTAAAGATACTGAAAGGATTGCTACTAATGTTTCTTTAAATTAATGAATCGGATTTAAATTCTACTACCCCATGTGGGATCGCCATCCACAGTTTAAAAAATACTGCTATATAATACTGGTGTTTATCATAATAATTCCTTGTGTCTCACAGAAAAGGATATTAGAGGAAGTTCTAGTTCTATATTTTCATCAGTTAGAAACTTTTTGTGCTTGTCTTAGGAAAGCGTGTATATTTTATACCCTTTATTTGAAGAGCCAAACGGTTTATAAGAAATCAATAACTAATTTATAGCCCGATTTCCCTCTCAGAAAATTTCCTTCGTTCTCTGTACAGGCGTTAGAAATTAGTCTGCTCCCTGTCCAACAAAAATCAAATTCTTAAAGATGTGATCAGTATTCGAGTCGAGAGGATGGCTGCCTGCAAGCTGTTACTTGCTTACTTGCCGGTACTTTCTTTTACATTATCGACTTGTTAACTTTCTTTGCT